ATAAACTTACAGCCAGCCTGCGTCGCTAACCGGTTGATCGAATCATCGCTCTCGCCCATAGCCCGGACTTGACCGCAGAGAGCGAAGGAGGTGGATGTGGACAGAGCCCGTCCATTGGCGTCGACGTCCGCCACACTGAATTGCACGGAGGCGTGGTCCTTGGACGTGATAAGGCGGTCTGGAGAGAAGCAGGTTACGCTGATGCTTGGAACCAGACTAAGCTAGACATACTAGTGGCCGCGCATTTGCGGGGGACGTAAAGGTCGACGAGGATGCCCTAATATCCACTCAGAAAGTCATTCTTCGCCGTTAGCGAAGCGATACACACCTGATCGTTCTCCATTGCAGACTAGTGAAGGTGGCGACGGCGGTGGCGAAAGGTCTACCAGGAGAAATGGCCGACCGTGGGACTACGAGGTACTACTGTACAGTTGTGGCAGTTACCGCATTTGGTGCAGCTGTGGCTGCCCAGCCGCGAACGTCACCTTATGGCCAAGGGGTGGACACCGGGAGAAGCCGAGACCGCATGAAGGGGGGAGGGGGGGGTCTCGAGGGCCTTAACAGGAATTTATTAAAAATAGATTTGGCTCTGTGACAGCCCTGATGGCAGAGATACGGTACAGGTGGTACTAAAACTGCTTGCTAGTGAGGGTTACAGGGCTTTATTAGCCAGGACAACCTCGCCTTGGCCATTGCACGGAAGAAAACATAAAGCGTGACAACATATAGTGTGACAATACAGTGACGTGTGGGCGCACTGAAAGATGACTAAGCAAACCCTAACCTGGACGTGCCTGGGACCTACCTTCCCGATATGGTACCGTGGGACGCTCCCACGGGGGGGGAGGGGGGGGCCTCTGGGACCTTAGCAGGATTTCCTATCATGCGGTCTAAAATTTTATTATTGTCCACCCCTTGCTTATGGCTATCCGATGTGTGAGAGATACATCATGGACATTTTATGTATCTTGGTACGATGGTAATGACAAGTCCGTGGAGAGTTACCGTACGTTCAAATAAAATGTGAAGCCTGCATCATTCAGACGACGTCCTCTCATGTCCGAGGGTTGAATAGTGGGCATCGTGTCCGCCGTCGTTACCGGCTTTCCAGATTTCGGGTAAAGGTCCGGGTTCGATCTTCGGAACCGTGCCAGCGTTCACCGCTCCTTCCTCCAGGTCATTGTAGCTTGATGGTGGTTCATTTTGAGGCGGTAGTGAGGGGAGACCGCCTCCGCCGTGCAATGGAAGTACATCGCCTTCGCGTTGGATCCGTGGCGAATAAGGCCGGTGGGAGAATTCCGAGGACAGAGGCGGGTAGTACTGCCGATAGGAGAAGTAGGACATGACGAGGCCAAGTATGCTACCCACGAGAACGTCTTGCCAATGGTCTTAGAAACGAAAGGTCAGACTATCGGTACGTGGGAAAGGAGAGGTGTACTTACGTCTGTAATCCATGGTACGAGAGATCGCCACCATCGCGGCACCGGCCAACGGCGCCAGGGAGATCCACGCTTTTGGCTGTGCAGAGGAATGTCAGCTATTTGGCATTCTGGTTCCAGGATCAGTGAATCATACAGCATGTCCTCTCTTATCAAACAGATGTAATTTGCCAGCAATGTAGAAAGACAGAAAACCCAGACCTGCGAACGAAACTGGGAAGCGTGAAAACAGTAATCACATTTAAGTTCAGTCTCGAGCAACCCAACTTACGACTCGAATGACCGCTAGGGAAACTTCTGAAGCCATCCTTCAATATGTACGCATCCGTCTGAGTGCAGATGCTAGAATTGGACAACTTGTAGATGGGATCCGCGGATCCAGGAACAGGTTGACAACGATCTATAACATCTACAGGTGGGCGATATGAGAATCTTTCATAATTCGGAGGGAAACACGATTACCTGGTCGAGGGCGCCCGACAGTAAGCTTCGTAAATTGAGTTATTGTTCCAGTGATAGCCAAACCCAACACCACTGGAAGTTTGTGAGTATAATCCATGCCCGAAGAACATGCCTACGTACATCCCAAAAGACTATTATGGGCATCCCAGAATGATCGGACCGTCAGGAGATTGATGGCGAGCACCAGGACTATGGGAGACACGATCGCAATCATGTATAGAGCGAACGGCTGTGGCACGATCAGTTACATGGCTGGCAAGATGACTGGGTAACACGCACAGGCACTCTCTCGTGGACAGCATACCTGCAAAGTCACGTCAATCTAGCTCAACCTACAGGTCAAGGCATACATACGGGTGCCGCAATCTGGCTCAACATCAGATCGTGACACCCTCCGAGGATATGGAGATAGTCTCACGATGTGTCCGACAAGGAGAACTCCCTCCTGAATCCCTCAACATTGTCGATCGCGAAGAATATAGCACTGCCGGCACAGTTAGCCTTACCTCCTGGACGGGAAAATATGCTAGGACGCACGCCACCACGATTGTTACCGCCCTACAGAACAATGAGCTAAGGAGGACGGGTGGCGCAGCGGATACTCACCAGTCAGGTCCATACGAAGCGGCGAGTTGCTTCAGCCTCGACCTGTCAGTCCTGGAACGCCCGGAATTTCTTCTGAAGAGGTTCATGTTGGAAGGCTGTGGGGGATATTGTGGCGGCGATCCGACTTGTTGAAGGGGAATATTGTCAATAGGGGACGATGGTCGTGACGGAGAAGGAAGGCGAGAATAAGACATGCGTAGGGCTGCCTAGCACATTACGCAGTACGTGGGGCCTGAGGAAACCGAGAACGGGAATAAATCCCTTCGTAAGAGCAAGGCGACACGGCCCAATGTCGCACAGCATGACCTCCGCACAACTGCTTCCGTACAACTCTCGCGCAGCAACCGCGTCGCGCGAAGATTACGCGCCAAACCAAGACGCGTCGAGTCTCCTCGCTAAAGATTGCCACACCCCATACGAATATTACAAAGCGACAAGAGCAAGTTTGTCGGTGTTGTTCCGGACATGTCGATCAACGACTTGTACGCGCTCCCCGCTGACTTCGAGTGGTCAGAAGGTGCGCGAGTTCTGCGGTCTCCGCCGTGGCGCATGCTCATCAGACTTGCAGAGTATGATTCCATCCTCAATCAGATTGCTTCCACCGATGTTGTCGAGTGCGTCCAAGTTCCCCAAAAGTTGTACTGTCGTCCTCATAGGGCATAACACGAAGGACGACATGGTCGAAACTGAGAGATATCGTAAAGTATAAGATAAGCCAGGCATGTTGTGTATACGCTTCGTCTTCTAGCTCTAATTCACCACGCAAGGTAGAACATCGACACGTATCTGTCGGAAGGGAATCCCCTCGTGGATCTGTCGTCAGTACATGACTTCTCACCTCGGCCGTCCACATCGGGCGGTCTGAAGCTTCCCCCTTTTGCCCCTCGTCCCCGAGACGAAAACAATCCCAATGTCATTCCAAAGGTCCATCTTTCAAAAGAAGAGGCAGATGAGATGAAGGAAACGATATTCGCGCAATTACATGACTTCGAAGAGTTCAGTATCGTTTACTGTTTCCTACTGTCATTCGCTCACGAATCCTTTAACAGCAATCCACCCTTCACGATACAGCGTGTCTGCGAGCTCTGTTTGCGGCCCAAAGAGCACTATCGAACAATAGGGAAGTATCTGCGAGCGGTTGAGAAGTCGCTACTAGTGACTTCTAGCTGGGATGCATTCCCGCTACCCACTACTGGGACACAAAATTCCATATCCTCCATCTCAGTTGCAGTGAGCTCTACGCCCATCGCATCCGCCCCCGCCACACCTCTATTCTCCCCAATCCCCTTTCTTCATGAAGACGCCAGGCGATCAAAATCTCGCAGCCCGCCACCGTCACCTCTGGCTCTTACAGCTGTTGATAACCCTGGAGCCGCGGTTAATGATGAACCAGCCGTCCTGGGGCCGAGTGACACTGAGCAGAAGGTCCTTGGCTTGGTTGACGAACTAGACGATCCTAGTCCTGGCCACATGAGTGACCGTCCTGTTGCGCTGTCAGCCGTTACTGAGCTGCCGCATGAGGAACCATCGAAACCCTTATTTGGAACATTAGAGGAGAGGTTCGTCCCGTCCTCCCAAGGTAGCGAAACAGAAGTTATGCACGCGACGGATGAAAAGGAGAAGGAGAGCCAGGCAGAAGGGGGATCAGGGGCGGAATTGGATAAGAAAACAGAGAGTTGACCAGAGAGTATGTACGGCAACTTGTTGTATCGTATACTTGAGCTTTCTCTGCTTTCTCTGCTTTCTCTGGCAAGGTAGCAATTGTCACGCGTAATCACGCTTGATCTTGTCCAGGAGGTTATTCATGCGTTGTCGCATATCAGGCTGGCGTTTGCGTCCTCTGCAAGCTGTGCTGTTACCCCGTACCGCGCGAGCACCCCGACCTCTTGACCGAGAAGACTCTGGTAGCCGACGTGCTGCAGCGGCCGAAGGGCCTGACGGATGAGGATGCTTCGATGCTTGGTGCGCCTTGGAGCGATGTACCGACTCCGAGAGTGGATACTGCGGCTCCGCCACCAGTTCATCAGGGGATTGTTCGCTTTCCTCTTCCGAGTCTCCAGCAGCGTCGGGCGTGATATCTTGTGGTTCCTGACCTTTGCCAGCCCGACCATGCGCAAGCTGCTCAAGGTCTTGTGTATCAGCCCGCTGAGCAACGGAAGATTGTAGCGTCTTGCGCTTCTCTGCCTTCCATTTGCTCTTGATCTTTTGGGTCTCGACCCATGCTTTCTTGAGCTTTTTTGCTAGGGCGAATTATAAGAGCATGCCCGAACGGGCGTAAAATAATATCCAGCGTACCTCGATTCTCCGGGAGGTGTTGGAATGTGGGCGGCCTCTTTCTTTTCTTTACGCTGTCTGTTGTGATTGTTGCCATAAAAACGGGAGGACTGTTGTGTGCTGATAGAATAGAGGACCCACAAGCCCAGTCGTAGTCTTTGTTGTGGTCTTGTTCAGGACGTTCTTGTAGTTTCACGGTGGGAGAAGCTATCGATTACATAATGTTATGGGTATGTAATGACTAGTCTGACTATATAAGGTCTACAACCGTTCTCATCTCTGTACCTCAACCTCCGTCACTCCAACCGTTCTCGATCCCCACTCAGTCCTCATTTTCTGTATTCTATTCCTTATTGTATGAGCGTGCAGAATCTCAACACTTTCGGTGAGTGCTGCATGGGAGCTCGCGACCGTGCTCTTATCTGATCACGGGCGCCTGGGACTGACTCCTCTTCCCCCTCCTCTTCAGACCCCTTTGCGGACGAGGGAGACGTTCTCGGTAGCACTAAAGACGTCGGATCGCAACAGAACTACATCCACATTCGTATTCAGCAGAGAAATGGAAGGAAGACTCTGACTACTCTTCAGGGTTTGCCTAAAGGTGAGTCACGTTGTCCGTACGGACCCGCCGTGCAAATCTGACCTCTGTCGCCTCAGAATATGATGCGAAGAAGCTTCTAAAGGCTTTCAAGAAGGTAGGTTGCTTTCAATAGTTCGTATTCGAGCGTCCGTTGATCCTTCGTGCAGGAGTTCGCATGCAATGGCACTCTCGTCGAGGACGAAGAGATGGGTCAAGTCATCCAACTTCAGGGCGACCAACGGCTCAAGATCTCCAATTTCCTCACTGAGGAAGGGATACCCAAGGCTACCATCAAAGTGCACGGGTTCTAATCGCGCAGTGGTTGTGCCGCGCGGTTTTGTAGAGATATCTCATCTGCAGGAGTTTCATGATATCGCACAGCGGACTGCCATTTGTTCACGTCCCATGTTTGTACAGTATCCACGGTGTTTATTCTTACAAGTTCTTGCAACGATAACTGTTCCCTCTGTCAAAGATTCGGGTGTGATGAGTCTCGAGAATCTGGTAGTGGATCAGCCACCATGCCACAGTTTGCGGTCAACAGAAACGTATAATACAAAGCAAAGCTGTGAACAGGACTAGTTGACCAGCACTGCAGGGACCTGTAGTAGGCTATACGGCTGAGCATATGTAGGAAATCAGGGCGAGTAAAGCAGGGGCACTCAACTAACTATTTATTGGTTTTTTTGGGGGGAGGGAGGCTCAGGGCAAAAGAAAGAGGTACCGAGACGTTGACATTATTTCAACCGGTCTATTTGATCTTGTCCAGAGGCCTGGGGAAGGGATATCAACGTCGGAAAAACATAGATCTGCGGTAAACACTAACCTGTTGAACCCTCCGCGTCTATAGCCGCGTCAGCACAATATCTAACAATATATATCGGTATGACAGACCTATTCATGTATTGTCTCCAAGTCCTCATTTTCTTGACGTCCACAGCGCCTTCCTGGTTACCTTCCACGTGCTTGCCCTGCAAAAGCATGTTAGGTATACGCCTCAGCCACAGAGACCAGCACTAACCTTGGTTGTCCCAAACCCAGTAAGACCCATCATAGCCATCATAGCTGCATCATCGTCATTCGTGGCATCATCCATAGCTTCACCCTCTTCTGCGCCATCTGCAGGCTCAGTGGACTCATCTCGGCCAATCGAACGCAATGCTTTAGACGTTTCAGGGACTGATTCTCAAGTACAGCATCAGTCGTATATATTCATGGCATATATCTGGAGTGCTTACCAGATCTTGACTGGGGTGCGGTTGGATCTTTCAACTCTGAGCGTTCTGGGGGAGGTCGGCTTTCCCTGACATCAGCAGGACGACCGTCTTTGTCTCTAATGTCCTGGACATCCCTTCTACTCGCTTCACCTCTAGTGGGTCTATCACGTTCATATCTGCTGTCGCGTCGAGGATCGTCTCGAGGGCCTCTGTCCCTTCTATCGTCGCCGCGGTCTCGGTCATAGTCCCTGACGTCTGTCGCGTACGTCGACACAACAATTGTTAATGCCACTTAAATAGAAGCAGCTGGTTGCGTAATTACCTCTCCGGCGATCCCTGTCGCCTCTACGCGGAGGGCTCCTCGAACGACTATGTCTCCGTCCTCCATCGCGATACTCGCCACCCCGACGGTCTCTGTCCCTGTAGTCACGATCACGGTCTCTGACACGGTCGCGTTCCCGATCTTTGTATTCGCGTTCCCGACTCACGTCCCGCCTCGGGTAGTCACGTCTGGTAGACATTTCGAGAGGACAGAAAGGTAAGTAAGTGCTAGTACTGCCGCAGGGTGGCAAGTCTCAATGAAAGCGGGGTCTATTTTGGGAACCGTGTGTTAGCCACGTGTCTTCGCGATCGACAGAAGTCGAGGATCGAGTTTACAGAGGCTACCCACCTGCTGCGTTTTAGAGCCAGGGTGCATGCTAGACCACCACAGATACCTGGTGTTGACAGAAATTTTCAAATGAACACTGCCGCGCGCGCTGGCGGAAAGTCTCTGCGTCAAGGGTTTCTGAATGCCGGTCGTAACGCCGTCGCGGAAGACAGTATGTGTGGCTCTACCTTGTGGATTGACTAAAGCAAACATCCCTGACGAACGGTCCTAGGAACCCATGTACAACTACGAGGCCTTCCAAAGACTGCCTTGCCTTCCGACGTCCTTAGATTAATTGCTCGAAATAGGGTGGAGAACGTAACTGGCGGTGAGCATCCCCCATGAAGCCTTGTAAGGATAGGGCTGACATGAGCATTCGCGAGCGTAGTTGCTATTGACTACAATGGGTTCAAGCCTACAGGCCGCGCGTATGTGAAGATTGCATCGCCGGACCTCGTGCAAACAGCATTGGAGCGTCTCGACTCGTCAACCATGGCTGCCATGACAGTACGTGCCGTGTCCACACCTGGCGTGGATCTAGCCCGAAGATCCCGAGGTGCGAAAGGAGTCGAAGAAGCAGCTGAACGTGGCGTCATCTCTGGAAACGGTCCAAGCGGGGGGTTACCGCCGTCACAATCGGGGATGAACGTCGTTGTCTTTGGTCTGCCCTCGAAAATGGAGCTTGAAAAGGTCAAGGCGTACTTCGATGGGTTTGAATTCGCATCCATGACTCGGGGCGACAAGGAGGTTATCCACGTCGCTCAGTAAGGCCATATTGCGCTGCTAGCCTCCATTCACATGTACTAATCTGTCGCCAGGCACGAAAAGGTGCCAAGTTCACGATACCTCGTTCGTCTGGCTTCAGTGTCGGAGGCCCATCGATTCGTACGGCATGTGCATATGACATACTTCGATCAAGAAGCATGGGGCGGGCGATACCTCATGAAAGCAAAAGTGATTTACTGAACCCATCAATTGCATTCCTCATATGAACACCCGGCGAGCCACAATGGTATGTCGGATCTACTGTATACTACACATGACCAAGTACAACTAGGTTGAACGATAATCGAGTTACATCCTCTCTGCATCCGGATCTGGGTCGCCCACCCGTGCTCGCTGGCCCTGACGAGAAAATTAACAAAGAGACCTGGAAGACCGAGGAATGGACTTACTCCTCGCGCATTACTCCCGTCATCTTCGGGCGAGCGGCCTCTCTTGAGAGTTGCCTCTGGAGCGACGGGTACATTTGCCTCCTTCCAGTCTCCTCCTCCACCAGCTGCCATTCCGTTGGCGTCTGCATAGCGCTCTTCCACCTCTCTTCTCCTCTCGATCTCCAACCGTTGGGCTTGCGCACCCCATCCGCCGCGTCCAGGATCATAATCTTGTCTGTGTTCGTCACGCACCTGTGTATACATTCAGCATAGCACGAAAGAGAACAGTACATATATATTTTTACCTGTCCCCCGCTCCGCCCCCGGCCAAACTGCCTGCCATCCTTATAGCCAAGATCCAGGTCGCACCGGATAATACGTTCGTCTAGCTTCGTGCCGGATATGTATCTCATGGAAGCCAATGCTTCCTCGTGAGTATAGTACTCGACGAAACAGAAACCACAAGGTGTCCTGAAGACGCGATATCAGCTACTTGTTTCGCCTCAGTCGACCAGGAACGAACCTGGTATTGCGGTCCAAGCCCATGATTATGCGCTTCACTCCACCTCCATCTTCAGGGCTACCACATTTGGTAAATAACTCATATATTTGTTCTTCTGTTGTGTAGAAACTCAAATTACCGACCTGTTTACAATTAGTATGTGTTGCATAGCAGACTAACATGTCCACTCCACGTACGTATAACGTGCTCGACTTCGCTAGCAATTCGTTCTGTTTCTGTCTATCGACTCGTGTTTGCGAGTCTTTGTAATTGGAGGGCTGGTCCAAGCTCTGCACGACGTGAGCCATGGCACCGGCAGGTCACTGCCTGGTCAGATACAGGATGGAGTGGCCTTTCTGCTTTCGATTCTGTCTCGTAAAACAAAACGCGTGAGCAAATTCGCACGATCAGCGACCATGTCCCAAGTGAACGCGACGCGTCATCTTGCATAGTACGTGCATTACCCTCGCGCTCTCTTCTACAAGCCGCTCGCTTCGACTAGCTTTCGCCATGGATGAGATAGGCATTGAGATACAAAAGGAGGTCTGTACATGAGCTTTCATATATGCATCATTTATTTACACGACCATAGGAACCGACGTTTGGGTCGGTGGTCACGGAAAAGACTTCCCTCCTGCAGGAGTTACAGGAGGAAGATCTGTATGTCAAATACAAGAAGCTTGCCAGGCACCTCGAGATGCTTGAGATTCAAGAGAGCTACATTAAGGACGAGCAGGCGAATCTCAAACGCGAACTCATCCGCGCACAAGAGGAGGTGAAAAGGATCCAGTCCGTGCCTCTGGTCATTGGGCAGTTCTTGGAGCCAATAGACAAAAACACCGGCATTGTGGGATCCACGACTGGCTCCAACTACGTTGTGCGAATACTGTCTACCCTCGACCATGAGCTTTTGAAGCCTTCTTCGTCCGTTGCCCTCCACCGGCATTCCAATGCACTTGTCGACATTCTCCCACCGGAGGCAGATTCTTCCATCAGCATGCTGGGTCAGGAAGAGAAGCCCGACGTTGCATACCAAGACGTCGGCGGCATGGACGCGCAAAAGCAGGAGATTAGGGAGGCTGTCGAGTTGCCATTAACCCATTTCGATTTGTATAAGAAGATCGGAATTGACCCTCCCCGGGGTGTCTTGTTGTATGGCCCGCCAGGTAGGCAATACCCCACCACCAGCTCTGGAATAGTGCCTTAACGTTTGTTAGGTACCGGAAAGACGATGTTAGTGAAAGCCGTCGCACACCACACAACAGCCGCGTTTATCCGAGTCGTGGGTTCCGAGTTCGTGCAGAAATACCTCGGTGAAGGGCCGCGTATGGTCCGAGATGTGTTCCGTCTCGCTAGGGAGAACCAGCCGGCGATCATCTTCATAGACGAGATTGACGCCATCGCCACCAAACGTTTCGATGCGCAAACTGGCGCTGATCGGGAGGTCCAGCGTATTCTGCTTGAGCTGCTCAATCAGATGGACGGTTTCGATCAGGGCAGTAATGTGAAGGTAAGGCGGTCAATGGATGCATCACAATGGAAGTTAATTGATGCCCGTAGGTTATCATGGCTACAAATCGTGCGGATACTCTGGATCCTGCTCTTCTCCGTCCAGGACGCTTGGACCGCAAGATTGAATTCCCTTTACCGTCTCGCCGAGAACGTCGACTTATATTCCAAACTTGCACCAGCAAGATGAACTTAGGGCCGGATGTTGACTTGGAAGACTGTATGTGATGGTCCTCCGTTCGGTATTCCTTGACTGAGGTTGCCCGTCAAAATTAGACGTCTCGCGACCAGATCGACTGTCTTCGGCTGAAATTGCTTCAATATGTCAGGCTGCTGGATTGCAAGGTCAGTTGTCGTCTATTCATGTAGGGGCTCGATTTACTGGACGACGAATTAGCTGTGCGGAAGAACCGTTACGTCATTTTGCCGGGGGACTTCGAGGAGGCGTGGAAGGTATGTTGTTGTTTGGTATATTTCCCACGTTCTGCTCACATAAATCTTCGCCGCCAGCAAACAGTTCGCAGAGGAGACGAGACACACGAGTTCTGTATGTTGGTTCATAGGTTGCTGTTAATTATCCCTTGCTAACTGTCGCGTTCTTCCAGACCGGTGAAGTTGTCTGGCCCGCTACTTTTGTGAGTTTTGTTGTTGTTCAGCAGTCATCCTGGATCTGATGGGTGTCCCAGTTGCTCGCATTTGTACAATACTCTCGCAATATTACCTGTTCATCGTCCTGCTGCCTGAAGTCGGATTCCACTGCTACAACGCTCTCTCTCACTTTGACGTCTCGCTGCACTGTCTACGGCGTTGCGTTCATTCTTCAGAGCAAGATGGACATGTCCTTCATTTTTGCCTACTTCTGCACTTCGCTTGAGACGAGATGACCTTCACAGGGACCCTCGATGGAGAAGGAGGTTCACAGAGGGACGACAATCTCAGTGAAGATATTCGGGATATGGTGTCAGTCGATAGGTATGCCGTGCTATTCCGTTGCTTGTAGAGTCTTCACTGATTTGTTGCTTCCTAGATACAGTCTTGCAAATACAATGATCCTCTCTTTCCGTATGTCTGATCTGTGCGTAAATTCCTTGGGGAAAAGACGCTCCTCAACACTCTGGATGGCATTGGTTACCACATGACCATTCTCATTTTATGGGAGCAATATTGATTGTGTTGCGACCCACTCCTTGGCGATGCTTCAGATAATGGAGGCATCGATTATGCAAGTGGGTTACAATCACACATTTTTTGGTTTAGTGGATTGTACAGTCTATCTCCTGCTCGTCTCAATATATGTGATATATCGATGCAAATGTATGTGCCGCGATTTTGTCCCTAGTGTCATCAATGCTTGGCGGGTTGTCCAAGCTCGCTCGCGCGTTCAGTCGCTATCTGGATGGCACGAGCAATGGTCGATCTTACGCGGCCGTCCTCCAGAGCCAGTAACCCGGCAATGGTGCAACCCCCGGGTGCTTTGTACCGCTCGTTCAGTATCATGGCGATCTATGATATACAAGAAACTTACTCGTGACAGTGTCTTTAATTTGAGCAGGATGAGCACCCGCCTGTAAGGTCATACGAGCAGCTCCTTGAAGAGCTGTGAAGCACACATGAGAGGTGCACGTAGGGCTGTGCGGAGTCCGAACGTACTCTGCGCGGCAAGCTCAAGAGCCTCTGCTCTGGGAAGACCCATCATAACACCTCCGTCGGCCATGGCCTCCAGGAATATGCACGCGAACGCTGGGCCAGAGCCGGAGAGTGCTGTGCACGCGTCGAAGTGCTTTTCATCGAGGAAACGGCAGCGTCCGATCGACGAAAATATATTGAGGATAACGGAGCGCTGGAGGTCCACATCCGACGATTCTGGCAAAGCGCTGACCACCGTCATGCCTTCACGAATCTAGTGGTCTCATGAAGGCAGTCATACCGACGACCACTGACGATCATACCTTACATGGTGTATTCGGCATCGCACGTATGACAGTAGTGGAAGGAAGTACCCATGCAGACATTTGAGGGATCGTCACCCCAGCAAGGATACTAATGAGGAGCTTCCCTGCGAGGGCTTCTTGCATTTCATGCCCACTCAGGATTGACTGGGCTTGCTGGGGTTTACAGCTATTCCCTCAAACTTTTCATAAGTGATTTGGCATATCAAGAGAGGAATTACGGACGTACCATAATATCACAACGTCCGACTGTCTGACGGACTCCAAGTTTTGGCCAGTGACTACTTCCACCTTCGTCCCTATGGGGCCCAAAGCCGAGAAGACATTTTTGAGCTTTTTTGCACTCTCGGTCCTCGTTACACAGGCAATGAAGCGAGACGGTAATGAGGCATCATCCTCCGATGACTCCGCTGGAGTCATCGTTCCTGGGGTATGCACCTCCCACTTGGAATGAGGCGGTCGGATCGTGGTATTACGAGCTTCCAGGCTGTCGACCACTCCGGAGAGTATGGCAATGCCCATCGTTCCACATCCTGGACGTAAGTTAGAAAGACGTTGAAATCAAATAAATCGTGCAGAGACCTAGGACGCAGAGTGTGTAGCCCATGGCGGAGGTCGTAAGCAGATTAGATGGTAAATCAATGATCGCTGTATCATGATGACTTGAGCATGCGCGCCTTCGTCACTGTGGGATCGACGCATTTCGACCCGCTCGTGCAAGCCTCTCTATCCACTCCGGTCTTGGAGAGTTTGCGCTCTCGAGGTTATACGGAACTCACTATCCAATGCGGTCATTCTAAGATTGTACAAGAACTGTTTTCTGCGCAAGATGTAGCAACTTTAACCAACGCCGGCGTCAGCATCGAAGTCTGGAGATTCAAGCCTACGCTACGAGAAGACTATGCACGGGCAGACTTAGTTATCAGTCATGCAGGTAGTGTATCTGCCCTTTGCTAGGTACCGCTATTATCTAAAATTTAGGCTCGGGAACTATACTGGATGTCCTGAGACTGGGGAAGGCATTGATTGTGGTACCTAACCCGACTCTCTTGGATAACCATCAGGAAGAGCTGGCCAACGCTCTAGCGGACCTCGGTCATCTCTATTCGTCGTCTATTCCGTGAGTTCGAAGCTTTCGGACGATACGAACGGGGCAATGATCATGCTTTTATGCTAGTGATCTGCCTGGGGTGATAGAACGGATCGACACTCGTCACATCGTGCCCTTCCCTCCGTTTGATGGCAGTAGATTCCGAAAGCTTCTGGACGAAGAGATGGGATATGTCTGATCATGATTGTGTACAATGAGCGTTACAGTTTACTTGTACCCGCAGGCTTTTCCACTATTGTGCACGCAATATTGAGAGATATTATTTGATCGGACAGATTCGGACAATCATTCCTCGTAAACACTTAGTCTGCGCGTCGAGCTCGTAGAACCCATATACAGGACATGAGCATCTCGAATAGCGTCAGGGCGGTGTCGGTGTCCGGCAATCCTCGAGAGTACGAGGACGTGCACGTCCATGCCGTCTACGACGAAATCGCCAGCCATTTCTCTTCGACACGGTACAAGGTATGTCACGTCCGCTGAGCAATGGTCAACTGGTACAGATCCATTCATCAGCCGTGGCCCATAATAGCTGAATTCCTTTCGAGCCTTCCCACTGGGTGGGTCGGATTAGACTCGGGTGCAGGAAACGGGAAGTACCTTCCCCTGCCTTATGACCGACCAGGACAGCTGTGGACGATCGGACTGGACAGGAGTAGGAACCTTCTACGTATAGCTCAAGGAGCTGGGGGGGAACTCAGGGAAGTGGTATGGGGAGACGTGCTTGACGTTCCCTGGAGACATGGAGCGTTCGTACGCACTTTTCCACTCGTCACCTCAAAGCGATCCTTACTGATCGCTGAACAGGACTACGCAATTTCGATAGCAACAATCCATCACCTATCTACGTCTGCGCGTCGCAGGGACGCGGTAAAGGTGAGTATCTCAAGTCGGCCAGTGCTACAATGCTGATATTCTTCTATCGAAGAGCCTCCTGCACTCCATTTCCCCTGATCATGGAAGAGCCTTGATCTATGTCTGGGCAGTTGAACAAGACAGCAAATCAAAGCGCGTCATCCCATCCGCACAGCCGGAGGATCAGTCGTCCACAGAGCCGCAAGGTGTGGACGTCTTCGTGCCATGGGTACTTTCGGATCGTACGGCTGCACCGGAAGAAAAGCGACCTGCAGGGCAGCACGAGGCAGCACGCTCGGAAGATGAGCTGAAGCCCAAGGCCAAGGTGTACGATCGATTTTACCATATGTTTGCGAAGGGCGAGTTGGAGCAACTTGCGACGGACGCTGCACAGGCTATGGGATTGTACGTGGGTCCCAGGGATACAGACAGCATGGCCATGGAAGGAATGAGTGGCGTGGAGGTATGCCAAAGTGGTTGGGAAAGATCAAATTACTACGTCGAGCTGCGACGGTGGCGGACTTAGATAGCCTGTATCACGGCGTCCTTGCAGCTTTCCATCTCCATCTATGTGCATTGTGCACCCTCGAAAGGGCAAGGCGTCGGCGTGGTCAGAGGGAAGGGATGTATACTGGATTGACGCAGACAAGTTGTTGCCGCAAACCCTGGCGGGTGCTCCTGAGGCATTTAGATCCAACAGTGTTATGGGTCAGATAGCAACGATGCGATAGGTAAAGCGGAAGAACATAATGCAGTAACTCGAAACTATCACTCGCTGGCAGCCATGACTACACGCAGGCAGATCAGCTTTCAGGGCATATGCAGGTTAACATAGACAACTCACTAGCGTTGATCAAGTCTCCTCCGCTGTCTTTTAATGCACGCACAGCCTTAGCGCGAGAGCAGTTGACCTGGGCCATGACAAGGTCAATGTCCTTGGGGTCCACGCCAGTCTCGTCGACCTCCTCAGGCGCCTCAAGCTCCGGAATGTCATCCTCATCCTCCGCCTCCTCACCGGCGCCCGACTTCTCCAGCGCGGGAGCTCCTCCACCGCTGCTCGCCAGCTGCTGAGCCGCGGACAGCTGCGCTTGGGAGTTCATGTCCTCAATCTTCAAGCCGATACATGAGCGTCGCAAGACAGTGGATGCCCCGCCAACCACGCACCTTCGCCTCGCCGAAGACGATGTAGCAGTCACTGTTTGGTGACTTGTACACGTCAGGGGAAGCAAGAACAAAGAGGACCTGACGGTATAAAGATCCGCTGAGCGTCGTCCTCAGTATCAAGGTGCGTAACACGTACATTCTTGGGTCTCCGGAGCGTAACACGAGTGATGCCGGGCACCTTCTTTAAGCCCAAGCTGAGGAGAGCCTTCCTGGCCTTCCGTTCAGCACGCGACTGGATCTTCTCAAGGGCGGCATTCGAGGTAGGATCCTCCTCGTGGTCATGGTCGTGATCGTGCTCGTGCTCGGAGTGGTCGGAAGGGACTTCCTCGATTGTGGCGGACATCTAGATCGAACAAAGCAGCGGTTGAGCGATGGGCGTACATCCGACGTGGCAGCGAGGCATCCAACCCCTTCCTCTCGCTGAATCGCGACCTGAAGAGTGCCGTAGACTCCGAAGCACAAAATAGCAGCCAGCTCACCTTCGTTTCCGGAGTTGATAGGACGGGACCACCTGTGCTCGCTGTCTTTGACGGCGACTAACGTTACCTGGCGCTTCGCCGGCATCTTCCGGCACGGGCGCCTATTGGGCGTTTCGACTGCGCCACAGGGGACAGACGAAGATCTGAGGTCGGGAGTAAATTGCATGTCGTCATCCGGCACTTGGCCAGAGTCCTCATTTCATGGCCCTGTCCGAGCTGTCTCGCCAGTTGCGCCAGCTCCTCGACGACCCCTCCGACGCTCAGCCAGCGGCCCAGCTATCGCCTGCTATTGATGCCTTCATCCACGAATACACGACGTCCTCAGAGCCCGACGTCCTACAGACCCGTCTGGACGACGAGTTGCTCACCATTCACAAGGACCTCGTCGACCACACATCGCCGCGGCATGTGGACTCATTTCTGACCGTACTCCAGGAGTTGTCTCCGATTCTCTCCCCTTGCTCGTTGATTTCTACTTGGTTCGACATCATACTCCGCCCTGCGCTGCGGGACCCTAAGCTCCCCGACGGTACCGTCAACCGTGCAAAGGAGCTCATCTTATCAGCCCTCCAGAGAAGAACTGATGACTACTACGAAAAGATCAAAGACTTTCGGCGGCGTCTAATGGATCTATATTTGCTAGACGTTCATAACGAGATATCGGGTGAGGACGTCTTGGAATGGGCAGCCTTGGACCAGGAGCAGAGAGGGAAGAGGACATGCTGGAAACGGAACCTAGAGGACACTCTTGCAAAGTATAGCCTTGGTCAGCCCGAGGTACGTCTTTATTGTCTCGCTCTCACTCTGTCGTATCAAGTGTTATTGCTTAGGATTTCTTTACGGAAATGAACGAGTCTTTCGCCGTGCCCTCATCGCGGCAGCAATTGTTGGTACTGCTCAACTGTTGCGCATCTCAAGACTTGTTTCCTTCGCACGCAGCAGCCGTATTGGCTTCTCATCCTTTGTTATCGTCCCTGTTAATGTCACTGCTTGTAGACAACTCATCGACTGTTTGCACCAGTGGCCTTACTGTGATCTCGAAACTTCTTCCAATACTTGCAGTGCACGCCACTGATGGCTTGAAAGCGATATTGCCCCCACTTCTCGTTATCCTGGCGCGGACCATATGCTGGAAAGAAAGACGACCGCCCGTCACTCCATCTGAAGACATCGAGTCAGGTGAGAATGCGGATCAAGAGGTCTCAGAAGCTAGTTCGGTCGAAGCTCTTCCTCAGCTCCGTCCTGAGACAGACTGGCAAAGACTGGAAATGACATTCACCGCTTCATCTGCGCCTTCACCCCATCACTTCTTTACTTACGTCTATTATCTGTTCCCCTGCAATACGATCCGATTTCTACGTAACCCCATGTCCTACATAAATGGCCACAATCTGCCGAGCCCATACATCGTGCCATGGGACGAGATATTGGATGAAGACGAGATAAAAAGTAGGAGTGAGGTATGTTCCACCTTCGACGATGACCGGGATGACCAGACTCACAGTACAAGTCCATACTGCGAGGGCATGTTTTACATCCTCGCCTGCTATGGAGTGATGCAGCCGAGGAACTCACCGAGCCCCGAGTTTGGGAGCAATATCCGGTTTCTCGTATCGTAGGGGAATGCACAATGCTGGACGTTCGGAGCGCGTCGCTGGCATTGCGCGCCCGAGCTCTTGGTGACGAGGGCGAAGGCCCATCCCAAGCAGAGGAAGACCAAAATGTGGCAACAGTTACACCTCATATGATCGATCTCAGCACGACACCAGGACGCCCTCGCGTATCCTTGCGAGAAATCTTAACTACTTCTTTGGCACTCAACTCCGTCGAGGACGTCGAGATCGTCGATATGGAGCCCGGCTGGCCGCCAGAACTATTTCCTAGTGCAGGCGGTTCTCCATCCAAAAGGTCTGTATCCCTTCCTCGAGAGGGTGAAGATACCACCACGGAGCATGGGAACCCTGGTCAGGTCGTCCAGGCAATTTCGGCATTACAGAGGGAGGTGTTGCTCTTGCGGAATGAGCTCAACTTCGAGACATGGGTCAATCGGGAGAACGCCAAGCATATCGGTCGTCTCCACCAGGATCGTATACTCTCTCGGAGTGCTGAGATTGAACGTCAGGGACTGGTACGTAGGGCGACTTCCGTCGCCGCTCTGTCAACTCACCCGTGATTTGTTGTAAGCACAACAAATTGCGAGAATATAAAACTCAGGTCAATCGTCTCAGGAACGAATTGAAGCAGTACAAAGAACAATCGAACAGTGCGAAGCAAATGTACGTGAACTGGAATACCGAACAGCAGAATAAGCTCCGCAGCTTCCGGGAGAAATGGAAATCTTGGCAAGCTGAGGCAACAAACTTGCGAAATGAGAACAAAGAAGCCAAGGTACACTTAGTCGTATCAACACCTTTGCAGTAATACTCACCGGGATTGCTAGGCGCATTTAGAAGCTCAAGAAACATTACTGGGGGACGCTGCTAGGAGAGTCTTTGAGCTAGAAACTGCCACCAAGGAAAATCAGCACAAGATTGACCGGTTGCATGACTATGAACGACGGATCGACCAACTCACGAAGATGCAACGCCTCTGGTCGGAAGTTCAGTCCTCCCCGTAGTGTTTGACTGAATCGTTCCTGTAGGGATGAAGACGTGAAACGCTGCAACGAGCAGGCCCAGATAATGGAAGGGCTCCTCAGCACGTACAAAAAGATGGAGCTGCGCTTGGAAGCGTATGAGAAGACACACGCAGAGATGGAAGACAATGCACGGTACGTTGTAGCGCTGGTCGGAGGCAAGCTGTGTCTCATATGCACCGTTGCAGTGCTGCAAGCCAGAAGATTCAAGAACTAGAAGCAAGGCTGTCCCTGGCCCAAAGGGACGACACAGCACGGCAGCAGTTTGCTACAGAAGTGGAGGCTCTCAACAAGGATCGAATAATGCTGGTCCAGGATAACAAAGCCCTGAGGGCGTCCAACAATGACTTACGAGATGAGGTGCTTGAGCTAGAGCATATGATAGAGTTACTCAAGGCTCAGGTCAGTGGAAAGAGAGGCCTTGTCGCGGAGCGACCTAGTACACCGCCTTCAATGACCTAGCCTCGAGTGTTCTACACTTTGGATATATCTACAGTACGCTGTGTATGTTGTACGGCGCAAAATGGAACTTCTCAAGCAAAGATTGGACTTAGCGTTGAAAAGCGAGTTGGATGGCAGTGGAAGGTTCTCGAAGGAACCCGTGCGAAATAGCGAGACGCGTTAGGGCGACGCGTCGAAGATTCGAGAAGGAAACAGCATTTTGTGCAACGCCTATAAAGACAGAGTCCTGGTACGTTTCGTTCCTTCACTTGCTTGTCTTCCACTTGCAGTCCTTCGTGCACGCGTTTATCTCCCTTCTACTCAAAAATGTCGCAGACCGAGCAATTCGGATTCCAGGCTGAGATCTCCCAGCTTCTCGACCTTATCATCAGTATGTCTCCAGTGTGTACGCCACCGAGATGTGAGTGCTAACGGACGTGCCTCAGACACCTTCTACTCCAACAAGGAGATCTTCCTTCGCGAGATCATCTCGAACGCCTCCGATGCTCTTGACAAAATCCGCTATGCTTCCCTCACCGACCCTTCTGTGCTCGACACTGAACGGGAGCTCTACATTCGCATAACCCCCGACAAGGAGAACAAGATTCTGTCCGTGAGGGACACCGGTATCGGTATGACGAAGGCAGATCTTATCAACAACCTTGGTACGATCGCCAAGTCTGGTACCAAGGTGTGTAATGTTTGCGTGCTGTTCACGGCTCGTTGCTGACATGCTCTTCTCTGCGATAGGGTTTCATGGAGGCGCTCAGCTCTGGTGCCGATATCTCCATGATTGGCCAGTTCGGTGTTGGTTTCTACTCAGCGTATCTCGTCGCCGAGCGTGTGCAGGTCATCACCAAGCACAACGATGACGAGCAGTACATCTGGGAGTCCGCAGCTGGCGGTACCTTCACCGTCACTCTGGACACCGTCAACCCTCCTCTTGGTCGGGGTACCGAGATCCGCATGTACCTGAAGGAGGACCAGCTTGAGTACCTTGAGGAGAAGAAGATCAAGGAGATCGTTAAGAAGCACTCCGAGTTCATCTCGTACCCTATCCAGCTTGCTGTGACCAAGGAGGTTGAGAAGGTGAGCATTATCGTTTTGATAGTGTGTGCCGTTGCTCACGTATTGTGCTCCTGTAGGAGGTCGAGGACGACGAGGCTGAGGAGACTAAGGAGGGCGAGGAGAAGCCCAAAATTGAGGAGGTCGAGGACGAGGAGACTAAGAAGAAGAAGACGAAGAAGATCAAGGAGAAGGAAGTGTCGAACGAGGAGCTCAACAAGACGAAGCCCATTTGGACGCGTAACCCTCAGGACATCACGAACGAGGAGTATGCGGCGTTCTACAAGAGCTTGACGAACGACTGGGAGGAGCACCTCGCTGTCAAGCACTTCTCTGTCGAGGGTCAGCTTGAGTTCAAGGCAATCCTCTTCATCCCCAAGAGGTAAGCTGAACGGTTTTTGTTGAGTCCCTTGTCGGCCGCTAACGTTTCATGATATAGGGCGCCCTTCGATCTCTTTGAGACGAAGAAGAAGCGTAACAACATCAAGCTCTATGTCCGCCGCGTGTTCATCATGGACGACTGCGAGGAACTCATTCCTGAGTACCTCAACTTCGTAAAGGGTATCGTCGACTCGGAGGACCTACCTCTGAACATCTCTCGTGAGACGCTCCAGCAGAACAAGATCCTCAAGGTCATTCGCAAGAATATCGTCAAGAAGTGCCTTGACCTCATCTCGGAGATTGCAGAGGACAAGGACAACTTCCAGAAGTTCTATGAGGCGTTCGGCAAGAACATCAAGCTCGGTATTCACGAGGATGCCCAGAACCGCAGCAAGCTTGCTGAGTTCCTGCGCTTCTACTCGACGAAGTCCCTGGACGAGATGACCTCCCTGAAGGGTGAGTACAGTTTGGCCGTCTACGACACTCGCAATTATTAACTTTGCCGTGCCGTAGACTACATCACTCGCATGCCCGAGATTCAGAAGACCATCTACTACCTAACCGGCGAGTCATTATCGTCTGTGAAGGACTCGCCCTTCTTGGAGGTCCTGAAGAAGAAGGGCTTCGAGGTCCTGCTCCTCGTCGACCCCATTGACGAGTACGCGATTACGCAGCTGAAGGAGTTCGACGGCAAGAAGCTGGTTTGCGTGTCGAAGGAGGGTCTCGAGCTCGAGGAGACTGAGGAGGAGAAGAAGGCGCGTGAGGAGGAGGAGAAGCAGTTCAACGACCTCTGCAGTGCCGTCAAGGAGGCGCTCGGCGACAAGGTCGAGAAGGTCGTCGTCTCCAACCGTATCTCCGACTCTCCTTGCGTCCTGGTTACCGGTCAGTTCGGCTGGTCGGCGAACATGGAGCGTATTATGAAGGCGCAAGCACTTCGTGACTCGTCTATGTCGTCGTACATGGCGTCGAAGAAGACTTTGGAGCTCAACCCGAAGAACCCCATCATCAAGGAGTTGAAGAACAAGGTCGCCCAGGACAAGGCTGACAAGTCTGTACGGGACCTGACGTACCTTCTCTTCGAGACTGCCCTCCTCACTTCTGGTTTCTCGTTGGACGACCCGACGTCGTTCGCCAAGCGTATCCATCGTATGATTGCGTAAGTAACCTCTTCTCAGTTATCAGAGCTCGCCGCTGACATACGATCATCTATCATAGCCTTGGTCTCGACGTCGACGAAGACGAGGAGTCAGCACCCGCACCTTCGACATCTGAGGATGTTCCCCCGCCATTGGAGGGCGCATCGACGTCCGCCATGGAGGAGATTGATTAGATCGTTGTTGTCGTCGTGTCTGATGTGTTGTCCTTTGCTTTCTTTTGTTCATGTACTTTGGTCTCCGGTTCATCATGTAGCATTTACCATCTACGCATCTGCACTAATGCAAAACGAGCAATCAATCCAATTCACTATGGCATTCTGCATGATCCACGTCCTTGAGTGTCGCCGAAAACAGCGTGATCTGCGATTCCTTCTGAACGCGCTCTCAGACCTACCATGACTCGATCGCCTGTTCCTCTCGGTGGTCTGGCATGACTCGCATGCGCAGTCGACAGCTTGCGTGTGTGAATGCTGTGAATGGCAGGGTCCCGACGGCAGGAACGATTGACAGCCTGAGTTCTACTGTGCATGTACGAGGGTCATATCCCGCTTCAATTGTTCTATCCTAGAGGATCAACCGTTCTCCTGTGATACGGGGTGTCTTTTACGGGGGACCTGGGGTGCCCCAGCGGCGGAAGAGGACTGGAGCACCTCCGACGTCCGACGCCGGTCCCCCGCAATTAACGCGCTTGTCACGCGTCGCGACGCGACATGTCACAACACTGTGCAACGAGAACAATCCGTGTGCTCCGCCGGGGACTAAAATGGCACTGCTCGGGAAAGTGCTGGAGACGGCACGCAGAGACTGTGATCCGCCCTTTTGTGCGATGCGAAAGGCGAGGAATGGGCGGACGGATCGCGTGCAGCGGCGATGGATCAGGCTGGATCTCGGGGAGGGCCCGGGTGACTAAGCAGATTCGATTGACGACGGTTGCCTTCTAAGGGTTTCTCGCCATTTCTCCTCCGCCCTTTTCTCTATATCTCTCTAATCTTCCATTGTCCTGCCGGCTACCATTCCCCTCTCGCTGGACAATGCTCCTTTCTGTTACCCGCTAAGTTCCCCATAATAACCCCACCCGCACTCTTTGTATCTCTACTCTACTGCCCCATTCACGCCCGTCTATCGCACTCAATGCCTGCCATTGTGTGCCCCCAGCCTCGTCCTGCGTCTTCCAGCTCGGACTCGAGCCCCGCGAACCCTGCCTCGCCGAGCGGGGACTCTGCACCCCTTGTAAGCTCGATCATGTCGCGTTTTCAACCGCCACGTCTAATTCTCTCGATGCCGTAGATGGACGCTGCACTTATCACCAACGCGCCCCCTCGTCTGTTATCCCCAATTCACCTGAATACGGAGATGGATTCCCGCAATATTTTTGTGCGTCTAGTGGTGTCAATGTGCTCGCGCGTACTGACCCTTTTTCAGTATTCCCCATCCTCATGTAGCCCTAGAAAGAGGCGCTGCAGCCCTCACGACAATATGTATCGTTCCCCACGTCGCCAGCGACAGCACTGTTCGGCCGCCGACTGCCATTTCACGACCCTGGGTGTGTTTGACCGCATGTCCTGGATAACCCAGGAAGCTGCTGCCATGGACTTCGCCGAGCGGGACGTGACAGACGTCCTTGAATGCTCCTATCAAGAAGTCGAATGGCTGAAGCATTCCGAACCGTCAAGCGCAGGCCCTATCCGTACTCCGAGGGGTCTGAATCGCCCGGGTTCCACGGACTGTGGCAGCCCGGTCAGCCGGGAACATTCATCGCATCCGCGGGCATCTTTTCCTAGACACGAGTTCCTCACCCTGTCTCCGCGGACTCCCCCTCGCCGTCCCACCGTTCTCTCAGAAGTTCGGTTTCGGGGCCTCCTCCCCGTTCTCCCATGATTCACGACACTCATGCGTCGGCAGGATTCGTCAGGAATCCTGCACGATGAAGTCGACTACCCTTTTGAGGCGTTTTCCCAACACATCATACCAAGCCAAATAATCGCACAACACATTTCTCAATCGCATCAACATCATTCCATTCATCGGCTCACTGTCACCTTGTCACCTGCGTTCAGTCGCGGGTTGGCTTCACCCGGTTGTATACCAACCGCGCATCTGCATCTGACAATCATCTGCATGATCATTTATTCGTTTTTATGAACCCATCTTATTATTGATCTAATCGTTTGCATTTCCCCAGAACACTTGTAGTAATGTCTGGCTTCACGTTTCGGTTTCGGTCCTGGACTTCGTCTTCCCCCCGCTGCTCATGTCGATAATATTCTAGAGATTGTTTTGCTTTGTGAATTTGTTGTCCCTGTTGCTTCCAATCCTGTTGTCATTTATTGCGCATGTTATCGCTCAGACTGTCTTACGAATATGCATGTAAATGGGTTAGCATTTGTCCATTGTAACGCTTGTAATGAAAGATTGTTGGGCTCATGGAATTTGCTGTTCGATACGGATACCGTGCTAACCCTGGTACATCCATGTATACACAGCGCGGATATACGCGGATTTACGCTCTCCTTCAGCACACGGTTTACGTCGGCCGTGAACTCAGATTCAGAACATGTCCAATGATCGATAGCGCGACATGGTCGAGGTCGAGCTCAAGTGGGATCACTCCTTCAAGTTACACCACTTATAGGGGTCCTGACCTGCCACCTCCGCTGTGACTCGTCCTCAGGCTGACGCTGCCTTTCTAACTACCATCATGGCCGAGGGAAGAGTGCACAACTTCGGGGCTGGTCCTTCCGCACTGCCCATCGATGTCCTTGAGGAGGCCACCAAAGGTCTGCTGAACTTCCAGGAGACTGGAATAGGCATCGCGGAGATCAGTCATCGTTCGAAGGAATTCACGGCGTTCCTCAGCGAGACCGAGGATCAGATCAGGACGCTACTTCGGGTGCCCCCGACGCACAAGATTCTTTTCACCCAGGGCGGAGGGAGCGGTCAGTTCTCCTCGGTCGTCCTCAATCTGCTCGCGAGACATCACTTGCTGCACCCGGACCTCAAGAATGAGGATCGCGTTATGGACTATGTCGTTACCGGCTCATGGAGCAAAAAGGCCATGGAGGAAGCGAAGCGGCTGGGTGGAGGGAGGGTGAATATCGCAGCGGATGCTAGGAGATATTCACAGGACGGGAAGTCGTTCGATACCGTCCCGCCTCATGACGACTACATTTTCTCTGCGGACCCTGCGCTCATATACTACTGCGAGAACGAGACCGTGGATGGTGTCCAGTTCGCCGGTGAGGCTGGCTTGCCGACCTCCTTCCCGTTCGCCAAACTCCCAGAAAATACCATCCTCCCCCTTGTCGCCGATTACTCGTCTTCGTTTATGTCCCGGCCCATCCCACGTTTGGCGGACCATGCTGTCATTTTTGCCGGGGCGCAGAAGAATCTTGGTCCGGCAGGCCTTACCATCCTAATCGTCCGTCAAGACTGCTTGGTGGATGTGGATGCCGCAGCCAAACTGGGGGCGATACCCGTTCCCCTCATGCTGTCCTACAAGACACTCGCAGACTCCAACAGTCTGTACAACACTCCTCCGGTTCTGCCTGTTTACATTGCCGGGCTAGTACTACGGAAGATGAGCGCCGAGGGCGGCCTGCAAACTTATGCGCAGTCGAATAGAAGGAAGTTTGAGAAAATCATCACCGCACTGAAAGAAGGGGAGGCCAAGGGCGCTTACAAAGGTAAGGTGAAGGAAGGGTCGGTAAGCTGGATGAACATAGTATTCGATGTTCCCGGGGAAGGGCGTCTCCAACAGTTCCTGGATGGCGCAGCTCAGAGAGGAATGAAGGGTCTTGCGGGTCATCGGTACGCACTTTTATCATTTATATCTTATGGCCGGCACCCTGACACTTCCTTCCCCAGTTCCGTGGGAGGTACAGCATCCTCGCAGTGTGATCGGCCGTCCTTAGGACTAACTTGATGTTCATAGGTGTGCGAGTTTCGTTATACAATGCGATTACAGAGGAAGAGACCGATCAACTGGTTCAGTACATGAACGAGTTTGCGACCAAGACCTCGTGAATGTTGTGGAAAGTTATAATCCAGTAGAAGCATACGATCTGTAAATATTGTTTTGGACGGTTGAATTAAAGCATCTCAATGTAAACCCACGACATAGCTAAACTTAATAAGTCACTTTGCCGGAGTGGTTAACGGGATCGCCTGCTATTCAGCATTTCAGCGGTTGGGCTTTGCCCGCGTGTGTTCGAATCGCACAGGTGACGCTTTTTGTTCCCACTCTCATGTAGAGTTCAGTTCTATGAACCAACTATCCCTTCGACTTCCTATGGTGGGCCACTCGAGCGTATAATTTTCGTGTACATGCTTGGTGGCCCCCATAGCAGTCATTCATCACATACTACATACAAGCCCGGTAATGATTCGTGAATCGTAATCGACTCACGACGTGCGCGTCGCGAAGTCTTCCTTGGTTAGTCATCATAGTATTTGTCGATCAGGACAGCTATTGCATCGTACATTGTCATGCCCCATGGCTGAGTTGGTTACAGCGTCCGACTGTTAACGTAATGGTATCGGAAGGTCGTGAGTTCGAGCCTCACTGGGGCAGTATCATTTTTCATCCTTGACATCAACACTTACACTCGAGTGTAAGGAGCCTGCCTTACGAACCTCGAAGAAAGTAACCTGCCACAGGCCCGCTCCTTTGATAATCATTTCAGTTTTTTCAGGCGTCATGATAAACCCTCCTCAGTACCATCTGCGCAAATAACAACCTCAATTGACTGGGTACAAAATAATAGAGAGAGATGCCGGTGACAGTCGGTCAAAGCGTCACACACGGGTGACAGTAATGAATCCCCCGTCAATCTGAGAACGTCCAGGCGACTGGGAGGTTCGCCCGCCGAACGCGTTCGCGAACGTGTTCGGCGAATGTCTGGGCACGTGAGGGGATGCCACGCCACCTGAGCCTAGGGAACTGCCACACCGCAACTGTTATTGAGCGAGAAAGGCAATGGCGGCAATGCTTTCAATCCATAAAATACAGTTTGTTCTGCACATACTATTGTACCGTAACCAGGGATATTGATGACATGAGTAGAGTAATTTCCATGAATTTCAAGCTGTCATGCCCAATGACTAATTATATGTATACAGGGCATCTGTGGAGGCATCACATTTTCAATGCAATGCCAGTACTATTGACGGTCGAAACCGTTAGGGGGAGGGCACGGAAGGGGCTTCAGTGGGTTCGTGTGACCCCAATTGGACAGACAGCTTCGATTACTCACCACATTTTTTTACAATTACCCAGGAATTTCAATCTCACAGACTGATTACAATAGATTATAAACTTACAAGTTAAAACCCTCAGGCTATGCAGATTTTATCATAAGCTGGAGGGGTACGCGTCTGTGGCCGGTGGACAGAGCCACAGAATCGACACGCGTCCACGTGCACCGTGGTGTGGTTCTCACGTTCGCATTTGCAGTTCGCGAACGCGTTGTGACCTCCCAGTGGGGTCGACTTTCTGGTCAATCTCGTCACACATTTGTCACGCCCAGGACCCTTGCAGTACTTCCATTAAACATACGATACGAGCAGTTGGGATTGCTTTGACACCAATTGGGTGGGTGAATCATGTTTATCTATACATATCACAGTGTCCCCCAACAAGCTGATATTTTCCAGAAGGCTGTAGGCCCAGAGACCTAAGGGCCTGTTCGGTTGCGCGGGTAGGGTAGGGTAGGGTAGGGTTAAAGTACACGGATTAGGAAATTTGTGGCGTTTCGGATACAACCGAGGAAATTTCCCGTTCGCAGGTCTCGCAGAACGTGTTTGGTGGACTCAAGTCTAGCTCCAGGTCTGTCACGCACCTGTATGGGCGTCCGTGCCCGATGCCGGTAAGCCGAGCTTGACCGGTCAGTTTTAGAGTATTCGGCCAATCAGCAGAGCTGGCCGTTGCCGAAGAACCATTGCGCTGCTCAAATGAGGAATAAACGCACGTGGGTTTGAGCTCCAGAATTGAAGAAAGCAGGATCCATACATAAATAGCGCATGTCACATTCTGTGACTCAGGGTGAGAATAGACGCCAGTGGGACCGCTGGGAAACTGAGGGCCCAGCTAACCCTACCCTACCCTACCCTACCCGCGCAACCGAACAGGCCCTAATGCATCAGGCCTGTTTCTCATGGTTACACATGGGCTGTTTGGACAGTATACATCCTCCCATTCAACAACGGTAGAAGATATGACAATTCTGACTTCACAGGTGTTCTCTATGGGTTACAATTCACCTATGTAATACCAACCCACTAAGCCACCCATTACATATTAGTTGAGATTTCGGAGTTCAGTAAAAAATCTGACTTTGAGAGAACCCCCAAAATGATAGTACATTTGGACCTGGTTGGTCCCGATCTGTATCACTCCGAGTCACCTCAACTATATGATGCAGATTCTGGTAAAGAGACTATTGAATGTCCCAAACTATACAGTAGTAACCTGTGCATAGGGTGAATCCTCCAACTGCTTCATCCC